GTGTGTGTGTGTGTGTGTGTGTGTGTGTGTGTGTGTGTGTGTGTGTGAGTGAGAGAGTGTACGATAGAGAGATAGACAAACAGAGAGAAAAACACACGTAAAATTATCATCCGATGTTGAACCAGTTGGGGTAATGAGAATGTAGAAGTTTCACCATGATATCCCCAGGCTCTACTGTCACATTAGTAGAAAGTAGGCAGTGTGATTCTACTGACATAACAGCAGACCACTTAAGGCAGCAGCTGGCACCAGTGAACCAGATTGTGTCTGCAGCCTAAAATCAAGTTCTGCATCCATAATTGCATGGAGCCATACTCAATGACAATGGACTCAAGACAGTGGGAAATGAGGGGGCAGCAGGAGTCATACTGTAGCAACGAGCAATACTTATTTTGTACTTGGAGAGGGATAAAAAAGAAAATTGCACAGCATTCCCTTAACTAGGGTAAAATCATTAGCAATTCCATCACAAATAATTTAATGTGGTTAGACTATTCCTTTAGTGATGTTTTTATGACATCCTACATTTTTGGTCCCATTGATTTGTTAACTTACATTCCTTGTCATCAAATTATGGTTGCCTCAACATTTGGAACCATATTCAGAATACTGGCCCAAGCACAGCTAAATGTTTGATTTGTAAAGGCACCTACCAGTATTTTAAATCAAACCTGTGGCTGAGTGCCTTTTAGGCATCATAAAATGTTTACTTTAAAAGTAAAATGCAATTCACATGGGGACATTTCTCAAGTACTTTAAATGATGGCACAAAGCCCAGTGCAAGCATTTCAACTGTTGCTGGTACAGTTCAGATTTATTGATTCCTGCTCCTGCACTACGTGTATATCATTTTTTAGTTGTTGCTTCTCACAGGTGCAGCACTGGTTTTTGAACAGAGGGAAAACACTAACACTTAAAAATCTGAAACCTTAGCAACAAATATTTTAAATACAAAGCATCTTTTGAGGAAAGGTCTAAAACTGAAACATTAACCAGCATTGCTCTCACCTGACATTGATGAACCATGTACGTTCAGCACTTTTTTTTGCAACTTTTCACTAAATAAACCTATCATTTTTGAGCTAAATACATTTACTGACCTGGTGTTATGCACTCCATCTTTAAGCTGTTCTAGTTGAAGCTCTGAATGTTTTTAAAATAGTATAAAAGCAGGTCTGCAAATACAGATTTCAGTCATCAATATGCTCCTCAGAATGACCATGAACAATGGATTCTTGAGAAATTTGCTGAAATTCCACAAGTATTGTGGGGTCCCGGACGTTTCTACCCCTGCAATGACGCTAACCACATTTGGTGGCTGCACGTTTCTCCAATGTCAGTAAGAATTGGGGATCTAGGAATGAGGGCAGGAATCCCAGAATCTTTAATCCACTCGTTAGAAATCTTCAAAGAATTTTGCACTGCAGCTCAGGGATCTGCTACTTAGTAGCTGTCAGTGATATCTGCTATTCTGGTGTCTGCCAAGTTCTCTCTATTCTCTTTCATTTTGAATGTCGCTAGGTTTCAATCTGGCGCTCTCAATCCAGTTCAGACAATTCCTTTTTCGCCAACTGTCATTCAAATCATCTGACTGTTCCTGAAATCTTCCAGATGGTTGCACATCTCCACAGCAATGGCCTTTAACAATGTTCTTCACACCTTCTTCACAAAGCAGATCAGGGCAGCACTGGTCCAGCTCAAAAGAATTTTCGTGTGGCACAGGTATTTTGGTATCTGGGACATCTGCTATTCAGATCCCAAATCCTCTTCTCATCTGATTCACCTAATCCTTTTCCACAATCAATCCTCGTGAGATCAGCCTTGATCTTACTGAATGGTGCAACAGGCTCTTGGGGCCCAATGGCACTCTCCTACCGCTATCTCTCATGTTCTTAGGAATACAATGAGGTATAAAGTTACAACGTTATGATACAGTTTTAAAGGGGCACAAGAGCAAACATATCCGCCTACAGGCTTGACTAAGTCTCAGACAATGGGAAGACTAACTCAAGAAGCTGTTTGCAAAAAAAAAATTGGTTTTATAAACAAGGGCAGAGTACAAAAGCAAGGAAGTTATTTTAAAGCAATGGTTAGGCCTCAGAGAGAGTACTGTGGTAATTCTGGGCAGAACAATGGGCTGAATATTACATTCTTTTTGCTTAGACCAAGTCATGACGAATTTGTTGGAGGGATTCTCAAGGTCAAGCTGGCTTTCGTGCTGCTTCTTACCAAACTCGCCACATTAATTGCTGTTCCAATCCTGATGGCAGTATCACATCTGATTTCCTTCCCACCTTAGCATGTGTGATTCCCAAAAGGACTTGCACTCAGCAGGTAACTACTCAAAGTCCAGCAACACCATCTTTGGAAGCTGGAGGAAGACTGACATTTGAAAGGTGGCCTGCTCATTGTTGGGGATGGTGAGGGGAGATGGCTGAGAAAGGGGAGGGTCCTGGTGGGCAGAGTGGTCCAGAGGACAGGAGTCCTCTTCCTGGAGGAGTGGCAGGGGTGGTTACATCACCAGACCATGCCAGCCTGGTTAGAAATCACCATCATGGTAACTGCAGTCTCCAGGGAATGGAAAACCAGGCAGCAGTGCAGGAAGTCACTCTGCTCGGTGAAGTGTCGCACTCTGCTCTCTGCCACCTCATGTTCACTTAATGTCGCAATCATCACACCTACCTTCCACCAAAGGTTCATGCTTTGGCAACCCCACTGATGTGTGCAAAACCTTCCCTCTGGTTAACCACTATCCTCCAACACCATTACCATTACATTCCCTTCACGTTGTCCGCTCACTCCCTTGGAACACTTCAACACATTTATCTCAATTGCAGGAGCACTAATAGCCACCAAAATAGGGTGGGGAAATAGATAGAGATAAATCAGTGTCTTCACCCTCTACAAGGTTGTATACTTTTGCTCACAGAAGGCTGGAAGCACTTTGTGGGACACCCATGTTTCACCAACCAAGTGAGTACCACTTGTCATTCCTGTGCAACTCTTACATTAACCAGTATGTATCGAACTCCCTACTAACCAGCATAAGCCTCAGCATATCTGGGCCATCCAGGCAGACATATCCCATGGGTCACCTCCAGGGCCAAAAGATTCTAGGACTAAGTTCACCCCCTCTACTTCCTCCATGGAACTGGGAGTTTTCCAAGAGAGGGAAGAAGAGGAAAATGTACTGAAAGGAGATCAGTGGCTGGGGTGACACTGTTATGGAAATAGTTAAGAAATGCATTATGAAAGTTTGTTTTTCACTATTGATGAGGTTATTTCTGACTTTGACTAGGACCCAGACACTGTTGAACCCTCCAGTATCACTTCATACGCACTAAAAAGGCACAAAGATGGGGGTGTGCACTGAGTGTTTAATATCATGTTGAAACAGGGATAGCAATGCGTGTAGACAGCATCGTGTCATTCTGACACTTCCGGCACCCTCCGATTCATATTCCCAATTGTTCTGGTGGCTGTGTTCACAGGAGTATAGCTCTCAGCAGTTCCCCAGCAGTCATTGTGTCAGGAAGGTGCAACACACAGAGATGGTCAATGCTGTAGGATGGCAGGGATTAGGCAAGCTGCAAGCCTGTGCCACAAACATTGCACGTCTCTCTGGCCAGTGCTCTTTCCCTATGATAGCCCAATGACTGATGGTCACTGAAGCTCCCTCCCTCACAAGTACATTTACTTACCCTGTCCATTCCAAATGTGGTGGCAGCCATTTTCTTCCCCAATGCTCACTTTCCATTTGCTTCACAATGGACTGCAGCAGGGAATGGTCCTCTGCCAATGGCCTACAGCCTCAGTCTGAACAATATCACAGATTCCCCAAGCATTACCATTCCTTTCCTAGGTGTCCATTCCATTATTCCCTCACAATTCTCCAAGTCCCCACCCAAGTCAGCTACATGCATCTACACCTTCCTACCTAACGTCTGCTCCTCCCATGAAGACAAAGAACCGACTGTGACCCACTCCCTCGGGTGCAATGGCACAGACCCACTGCGCAAAGTTGCTCCAGCCAGACCTTTGAGCATGCCCAAAGTCCTGGATTGGTACTCGAGTCTACCCATGACTAACAGTTGCAGACCCCCTGACTAACGAGTGTGTCCATGCACTTCAATGAAGACTACTCCCTTAAGGCATCTGGATGCGGCTGCAGTGTATTAAGCACGAATGATGCTGCCACATGGTAGAGATATGACATGCTACTTGGCTGTATGACAACATGTATGTGCCATGTGCCAAGGGTCTCTTCTGCACCTATGATTCAATCAATCAAAAGACTACTGAGTGGCACGGCCAGCTGCCTGGTTGTTGGACTGTGCCAACTGGCACTGCAAATCAAGGCAAGGAACATATGCTGTGGGCATGCTGGCAGATGCCAGGTGAATACACACTAAGGCTGCAAGCAGCCCTGGTAGATTGACTAGTCTGAGCAGTGGGCTGGGTGCCTGAATTGGTTTGGTTACCGTGACCAATGCAGAACTGCTAGGCAAGTCTGTGTTTGCAGGGTGTACTGACAATGTGTTCCGTCCTCACATTCACTTCCTTTCTATTGCTACTGAATGACACTGAAGCTCTATGCAGAGATTCTGCATTGAAACTCAAATATTGACTGATGCAACTTCTGCATGCAGTGCATAAGGGAAAAGGCCTGTCTTGTCTTGATAACTACAACACCTTGTGCTTGTAATCTTGAAGAGTTTAGCATTTCAGTTACAGGGATCAAAGCAACATACTGAACTTGAAAACAGATTTTGACTAGATGAATTTTGGAACCACTTTATCGGTAACTTAGCCAATCAAAACCCAGGAGACTATTACATTTATCCCTAACATAAATTACATAAATTTATACACCAGAAAGGGTCGGCCAAAGACCGAGTTTATGCTTCATCAACTCACAATATAAGTAAACTTATACTTGGACAAAAGAATGAAATCACAGCTCATGAGGAGTTGAGAATTTATCCACAGCTATCTCTGTTCCACAACTTGGTGAATAGGCCAACCTCGTGGATGAGTCACATGTCAGTCAATACATCACTGTACAACTGTTTTCACCATATGGGAGCTCCAATAGAACGGCAGCACAACATGCTTTAATTTACACAGCCAGCTTTCTTTCTTTCTTTCCCGAAAGCATTGGCCAATGCCAGGATACAGTTCCGCAGGTGCCAGCAACCCTGCATTACCTCATCTACGTGGTCCACTACTCATGTTTAAGTTGGACACCAAAAACCTATAATCGTCAAGAGTACTGAAGAACACTCATGATTAGGAGTCATGCTTACATCCAATGGTTAGCATCTCAACTCAAATAAACCAAGAACAAAGCAGAGACTGAACTTGGGACGCTGTCATTTGAAACTTATAAAGGAAGAAACAAACTCAAAAATTGGCGTGCGACATGTATCAGTTAAATACCTACAGATGTGTGTATGTGTGAGAGAAAGAGGCTATGTGTGAGAGAGGGGGAGGGTATGCGTGAGAGAGACAGAGAGGGGGTATGCGTGATAGAGAAAGAGACAGAGTGCGTGTGAGCGGGAGAGTGTGTGAGGGAAAGAGGGTATGAGAAGAGAGAGAGAGAGAGAGAGATTGTGTGTCTGAAAGTGAGAGAGAGATTCAGAGAGAGATTATATGACAGAGAGACAGAGTGCACAAGTGCGAGCGTGACAGCGCATGTGTCCACAGGCCAAAAGCAGTAATACTTGGAAATTAACATTCTGGACCTCCATTTTAAAGTATGTAAGTTGAGGCAGACTAGTATTCACAATTTTTTTTTTACTGGTTGTTCGCTTCTGGAGAGACAGAAAACACAGAGTTAAGCCTGGAGAATACTCTAGACTTTGAAAAATTCCTTCAGCTTATATGCAATGTATAAAATACAACCAGTATAGGCGCCGGTGGATCAGTTTCTGCTCATCAGTCCTCATGAACAGTTCTTTATGCGTGCATGTCAAACTCCTGTTCATTCTTTTAGCAACACAGCCCATGTAACCAGCTTAATCACATGCGCTGACTTAGGAGGTAAGTGGATATGCATACAAATATGCACTTGATAGCTGAAATGTGGAGGGCAGCATTTTTTTTTCTTAATTACTCAT